GTCCCAAAGTACTTTGCAGCCAATGAAGCCAGTAGAACCATTATGTTGTAGTCTAGGAAATATGCCACTAATTTGTGCACAGCAAGCTCCCACATGTAACGATGTTATGATAATAAGCAGGTCATGTTGATGGAAGGATAAAGCATCAAAGAAATAAAGAATTATTCATTTGATAGTATAAAACTTCAGTTTTGCTGAAAATGGGCTCACCTTGTTGAATCTTTTCATCTGGTCCTCATCATCAACAAACGTGCTTCCACTTTCTATTGGGTATTTCTTGCCAATTGTCCTGATGAGTGCAAGATGAAAAGCTTCGGCAAAACCATATCTCTTTTTCAGCAGTAGTCAAATAAAGGATTCTGCCAAATGTACGTGAACTCACAAGATGCTGCTTTGTCGTTGGTTACATTTTCAGGGAGGATCAACAGATCCCACCTGAATTTGCCTCAATTTTAATTTAGTACCTGCCTCTCCCAAAAGCTCTGTCAAATTCCTCAGATACGATCCTCCTCCTGATGCCCCATTTTGGTGTCAGCAAGGATCAGGAGTACTGTCAGGTGAGTGGAGTGTGCGAGTAGCGGTGGAGGGTCTGGTACTGAGTGCAATGCTGTTCTTACACTGACCAGCAGAGGTCAGCAGCTTCTATGGCGGGGTCAAGGGTGGACAGAAGCTTTAAAAACGGGGGATGTTTGGGGGAGAGGCAGATGTGAAATCACAAATCACTAAAGACGTTCTATTCCTCAGATACTGGACATCCCTTTAGGAAATGAGACGTGAATGGTTTAAAACAACAGTAATCTGTCACTCTCCCTCAGACTGAACACACTCGGATGGCTCTGTCAAACAGCAGCTTGGTTTAGTAACAACATCGGATGTGATACAGATACAGTAGGATGTGGGCCTGTGCCAAATCCATCATGTTGGCTCCCAGAAGCAAGCAGTGTTAACTACTGACAGGGCCACTCCCCACAGAGGTTCTTCATTTAAATGTAACTTTAATTAGAAAGATCAAATCATTGTTAACCTCCCCCAGGTCTCCTCACTGCAGGAGTTGAGTGTAGGATTCATACATTCTGTCACACAGGGTCAAATCCGCAGTATACCCCAGACAAGAAGGAATTGGAAAGGAACACAAGAAAGAAAACTAACGACAGAGAGACAGGAAAAGGCCAACACAAAAGAAAAGGGAAAGATGGACCAAGATTATTCTGAGAGAATGACAGGCACAAAGAAGGAGTGGAACAGACAGGAAGAAAGATTAGCAGAGAAAGTAGACAAGAGGATGACAATTGGAGATGAAGCTGGGCATATTGATAGAGAGAAGAATGATAGAAGGTTTCAGACATACAGAGAGAAGAAGAGATGAAAAGCTGAAGAAGAGCTTGTGTTATAGCATCTTTTATGACCTCTGAACATCCTAAAAATGCTTTATAGCCAATTAATTCCTGATTTCTTTTTGGAACTGCAGTCACTATTTTAATGGAAAAAAGTATGGAAGCCAATTTTCATACAGCAATCTGCCCACAAGCAGCAACATGACAATGATCCGATCATCAGTTTGTTAGCAATCCTGGTTGAGGGACAAGTGTTGGCCTTCTCTTCTACAAAATAGTGTAATAGAATCTGCTTTGTTCACCTGAGAATGACAGGCAGGCTCTCAGTTTCAAATCCCATCTGAAGGAAAGCACTTCCAACAGTGCAGTACTCCTTCAATACTGTATTGAGTAAAAGTGCAAGAGAACTAGGCAGAGACAGCAAGATAGATGGAGGCAAGGGGATAGTGAAACTGGCATTGCCTAGAGAATGAGAAAATGACCAAAGAGAGAAAAATGGTGACACTCAGAGAGATGGGAACATCACAGCTGGGACCAGAGATAAATCTAGTTGTAATGAGACGGTGGTCTATAGGATTATAGATCACTAATATCAGCAGTCATATGCTAGAAGCTGAAAAGAGAGTGAACAGCTTGTACCAGAGAAAGAAGCACTTACCTTACAGTGTAGCAGATTTTATAGAGCAAACAAAAGGAGTTTGTGGAAACCCACCATAGTCAGACCATCATTATGCTTAAGTAGAGGAAACATTCCTATTGTATACCAGGCCATGATTTACCCAAAGAGACACTCAAATTGGAACCAAACCACAAACCAATAAACAGAGAGGGTATTCATAGAAATACAAACAAGGTGAGCGAGTGATTTTAGGACAGTGTCCAACCTGAATGCAACGTCCTGCTTTCCCCAAGATAAAACCAACAATTGGACTCCAGATGCTGCCTAATAGTTCTGGCAGTAGAAAATTGCAGTCATTCTGCACTAACTGAGAATATCATCTTGTGCAGATGCTGGAGTTAATGATCACTTGAATATATGCAGTAGACAAAGCAAATCGAAACAACATAAAGGAACCCAGCAATAAGCTGATGTCTTTAGAGCACAAAAAATAACTGATAGTGAAAACAAATCAATGGACCCCAAATTGCTTTTAGCTGTAAATTTGTTCTCACTTTTGTTTACAGCTTGACAGCCTGAATTGCATTAGCATAAAGAATGAGCTGAGATGTAATTCCAAGCTGCCATTTAGCTCAATTCAAAGGAGGCATGATTACAAACCACAAGCTTGTAATGAAGGCTGAGGGAGTGCTGCACTGCTGAAAGTGCCAGCTACCGGACTAGGTTTTATACCAAGGCCCCCTTCACGTGTTCCAGTTGGACACTAAAACTTCCCAAAAGTGTACATTTGAAGAGCAGGCATCTGTCACAGGGTCTTGGCAAATTCTCCTCCCTCAGCGATCACCATCAGCTTCACGGGAACTCTCTCATTACTGTCTGACACTTTCTTACTTTATGCTATAAAGATTTTGGCTCTTCCCTGAACAAGGATTGCCAATGCTCTGGGAGCTTAAAAGATTAATCTCCAGGAGCAAATTGATATGGCATTGAAAGCTATTACAGACGGGATGAAGTGCTGACTGATGGATTGTCAAGTAATTCCTGTTGGATAATGAAGAGGCTGCTTGCTTTCCATTAGGCTGTAGGCTATTGAAGATAGGTGTATCAGGTAACCAAGGTGATGGTGTCTATGATGATGCAAAGTCATGTGATGAAATGTCCATGATATACCCAATCCGAACCGGCAACTTCACCCCTCATCATCAGTCACTCTGCCCAATCCAATAACAAGAAACTACCACGTGAAGTGTAGGATCAAGCTCTCATTAATATATTTTTAATCAACCTGTTTAGAAATGTACTGACACAACTCTGGAGTATGAGACCTGAACTGGCTCAGAGGCAGGGGCACTGCCATGGCACCACAAGTGCCATCAGGTGCTCAGTAATCTCTTCAAGTCAAAACAGGTTGCTCAATTCTCCAGCTCATCATCCTCAAGAGGCTCCACGTTGTGGAACACATACACTTACCTCACACTCAACCCTTTTGTATCTGCAAGCTGCAACAACTCGGAGACACCTTTACCCCTCTGGAACCTTCGCCTCTCCTCTTTCCTCTGACTCCATCCTTTCTCTTGATCCCACCAGGGATTTACTATCCCTTCTGACCTTCCTTTCTCTGATGTCACCATTCCATACTCAGCAAAAGTCTTAGTTTTATCCTGTGCACCCCTACCTTAATAATTTTGGGCACAACATGACGTTGAACTCTTCTTCCATCACCTCTGCCTCCATGCCCATTCCTTTGGACAGAAGTCCTCTCCCCACTACCATGGTTGACAGGGTCCTCAGCTTTGTTTCTACACTCTGCCCTCACCACTTCCCTCCCTCCAACTACAGTGATAGGCTTCTTCTGGTCCTCACCTACCACTCCACTCACCTCCACGTTCAATGGATTGTAAGCCACCATTTTCGTCACCTCCAACAGGATGCCACAACCAGATGCATATTCTCCTCCCCTCTCTTGTCAGCATTCCGCAGGAACTGTTCACTCCAGGACATTCTGGTCTCTTCCTCCTCCATTCCCAATATCTCCTCATCCCTAGGGCACCTTCCCATGCAATTGCAGAAGGAATAATACCTCCCCATTTGCTTCCTGCATCCTCACCATCCAAGGCCTGAGACACATCTTTCAGGTGGAGCAGTGATTTACTTGCATTTGACTCAATCTAGTCTACTGTATTTGCTGCTCACAATGTTATTTCATCTACATTGAAAAAATGCAGGCTGAGTGACCGCTTTGTAAAACACCTATATTCTGTC